CTACGCTCACCTACAGGTATCCCCACTTTTGGATTGAGCGCAGCTAACACAAAAGGCACAACCATAGATCTAGTATGGGTAAATGAGCAATTCGACGATCAGATCCACACTTGTCTCATAGACAGTGAACACATCACCAACCACCTATCCGACCACCAATCCTTAATCATGACCTTCAAGACCAAACAACATGACCAAGAAAACACACAAGGTAGGAAGGGAGTAAGGAAGAACTGGCATAAAGTCCAACTTGCCTCCCTATTAGCGGAACCTACCACGACTCTCCCAAAAAGCAAAGAACTGAAAACGCAAGAAGAGATTGATGCTTTTGACAGAGACCTTTGACAAGCCATCACAACAGCGTTGGACAACAACTCGCCAAACAAACCTCCACCGGGCAAACACAAACATTGGTGGAGGCCCGAAATACTGGACCCTCTACGGAAGAAAGCAAACAAACTTCAAAGAAAACTAAAGGTAAACAACTCAGATGAAACTAGACTTCAATAAAAGAAAGCACGAAACAAATTCAACAAAGCAATGGACAAACAGAAAGAAGATAGCTGGAAGACTTACCTGTCAACATTAACTCACGACACGCTCTTTCAAGCAAAAAAGTTTGCAGCAGGAAGAAAGCCATCCTCACTAGTCAACACTCTGATCTCAAAAGAAGGTAACATATGCTCAACTAACGAAGAGAAAGCTAAACTACTTTTCTCCACAACCTGTGTCGCTACAGCACCTTGCCGCATCTCAGACGAGGACACCCTAACCTTTCCAATCCAGGACGAAAATAGACCAACAACAACCATCATGTCACAATTCTTTGACTATCTCACCGAAGAAAACATCCTCTCAGTCATAATGGAAAGTCCCCCACTGAAAGCACCAGGCGCCGACCTTATCCAAAACTGGGTTTGGAAGAAGATCTGGCCTCGAGTAAAAACTCAAATCAGAGCTCTTTTCCTCCAGGTAACATTCACTGGGCTAATACCCGCGGCGTGGAAACAGGCCAGAACAGTCAAAATCCCAAAGCCAGGAAAGCCTGACTACACAGCAGCAACAGCTTATCGACCGATTGCTCTATCAATTACTTTGAGTAAGATATATGAGAAATTGCTTACCAAACATCTTTCAGCACAGGTAGAACAACTCCGAATCCTACACAAAGGACATTACGGAGGACGTCCCAACAAATCAGGACATGAAGCTTTAGTACATCTGGTATCATGGATCAAGAAAGAATGGGCCAGAGGAAACATTGTAGGAGCACTCTTTGCAGACGTTAAATCTGCTTTCCCATCTGTTCATCAACCTAGACTGCTAACCATCCTTGAGAAGAAAGGATTCGACTCAAGAACAATCAACATCATTCAACAATTCCTCCAAAATCAGTCCACAACGATGGCCTTCAATCACCACTTTCACCTCTACTCTACCTATTATACAACAACGCACTACTCGAAACAACTGACAACCTTGAGAATTCCACAGCCTTAGGTTTCATTGACGATGTGGTCTTACTGACCACAGCCTCAGACACTCACCGATTAAGATCACAAATGCACACCCTAGCCTATCGCCAAAACGTA